CTCTCTCTCTCTCTCTCTCTCTTGTTCTCTCAATCTCTCTATTTAATTCTATCACTATCTCTGTCACTTAATTTCACTTTGCTCCTCATTCTGTTTGTTTGTCTGTCTGTCTGTCTGTCTGTCTGTCTGTCTGTCTGTCTGTCTGTCTGTCTCCATCTCTCTCTCTTTCTCCCTCCACCTCTCACTTTTCTCCCTCCCTCCTGCCCTCCATCTCTACTCCCCTCTCTCTTTTTTTGTTTCCTCCCCCTTCTTATTGTGTGTGTGCGTGTGGTCATACTATTAATATTGTTATAATTATTTAGGTAGGGTGTAAAATAATGACTTTTGGTTACTGTAAGGGTTTCAAGCTTCTCGAGATCTCAACACTGTAGGGTCATCCAAGAACTGGGGTCTTTGAATCTTACGGCCATAATCTCAGTTAAAACTGAGCCAGGTGTTCGGCTGTGCGCTTCAAAATCTCCACCAAACATTTAAAGTTTAAAACTCTCCATTACAGATTCGAACCAGGGGGAAGGGAAACTAAGAACAGTGCAATGATTACTGAACTAATCGCGCGCCCGTCTCTGTTGTTATGAAGGAAATCATAATCATCGCCTTCCAGTGCCAGATCTGCGACAGACATCGGCGATCATGGTTCTCCATTTATTCCTTTGCTCGGATGCTCTTAAAAAAAGCTACGCTTCCCTGATATTTCCCTGTAACCAATTTGCCTAGGTTCCCCCGCATCGTTTGCCTTCAAATTTGCCAGTGAGAGCTGGATTTATTCACATTTGTGAGGTAGTGTGGTGGAATCAGGCTCTTGTCAAAATAATCAAAATGAAGAAACTTGCATTTTTCCGCAGGTTTGTCAATTTTTTTAAAATTTATGTTTTTTGGCTCAACACCTTTCATGCTCATTATAGAACTCATTTCTGTGTGGATGTTTCTGAAAAACGTTGATTAAAGGCACAAAAGATGTAAATTTTCATTTACCACGGACTCGTAAGCTAAGGAAATAACTAATCTTTGGCGGTTATTTTCTCACTAATTTTACCTCTGAAAACAGGTGATCCCACCTCCTTCATTCGCAAATATCTCGATTTGTATTAAAAATAAATGGATATTTTTTTCATCCGAAAAAAAAAGAGTGAACAAGCTTTAAGATGATACTAATAATTCTACATGCCCAAAAATTGACGAGAGCCTGATTCCACCACGCTGCTTCACATTTGTTTAGGTTTCCCTGCATCGTTTGCCTTCAAATTTGCCAGTGAGAGCTAGATTTATTCACATTTTTACGGGGCAAAGCCGTTCAAAAAGTTACTTTGTCTACTTTTCAAAAAATATTAGTAAGAGTTTCACGGCACTTCTAACACAAACAAGTCATATAAGTGCTGAAGATTATAGAGGTGTTACTAGAGAATAACCAAAGATAGTAAATAATAAGATGGGTCACTCAGCCAAAAAAGTGTCCGCAGGAAGTTCGCTCTTTGCTTCAGATGGCGCTGCAGTCTGTTTCGAAGCTCTCTTTCGTTTGCCTAGAAGAAGAATAGGAATAGCACCTCCTTGTGTGCGCAGATCGACTGCTGTTCATCAGCAGTTCGGGTTCGTTCAGTGCGGAGTTTTAGGTTTTTAAAATATTTTAATGACCTCTCGCCTTTCATTCTAAAGTCAAATTAAACGAAGAAATCAATCACCCTTTCCTCCGGAAGAGGTTTTTTGTCAGCGTAACCATTAAAAAAAAGCGTTCTTCCGAAATTCATTTAAAAACTTGCTAGTTTCACTTTGATTTTTTAAACTCAAGTAGGATAACTCTGTTCACAAAAGGTGCGCTTTTGCGAAGAGGGCGCCACTAAATTTTGAGGACACTTTTTTAATTGGCTCAAAGAGAGAAGTGGCCCCTCTTGTTATGTGGACTCTTTGGAATAAGATACGGAGGAAAGGAGGATGAGAGATGAGGACGACAGATGTTTGATTGGAAAGAAGGAGCAAACCTCATCAGAGAATCCACCATCGTGGAGGTGATGGTCGGTGTTAAAGAATGGAACAGTAACAAAGAAAAAAATCGGCTTACTTTTGATCTACTTTGTAATGGAGGTGATGATGATGATGATGATGATGATGATGATGATGATGATGATGATGATGATGGTGATGATGATTAAGCTTAAACATACTGTGGTTGGCGGGTGTTCTGGTGTTGTTTGCTTCTTCTTTCCTATCAAACATCTATCGTCTTTATCTCCCCTCCTTCTTTTTTGTGTTTGGTTCTCTCTTGTAGCACCTCTAATCTTCGCACTTATATGACCTTATTGTGTTGCAAGTGCCGTAAAAACTCTGACTAAAACTAAAAGACATCACTGATCACAAAATGCTTGATATTTCAGCCATGAGTCATCGGGAGGATTCGCTAATGACGTCAGAGGAGTTGGAGGAGCAGCGGAAGTGGGATGAGGAGTTCCGGAGGAGAAGCGAGGACTTGGCCAGACAGGAGTTACAGTCGAGGGAGAGAAGGTGAGGGATAGATAGATAGATAGATAGATAGATAGATAGATAGATAGATAGATAGAGTGTGTGTGTGTCTTCTTCTTCTCCTTCTTCTTCTCCTTCTCCTTCTCCTTCTTCTTCTTCTTCTTCTTCTTCTTCTTCTTCTTCTTCTTCTTCTTCTTCTTCTTCTTCTTCTTCTTCTTCTTCTTCTTCTTCTTCTTC